GTACGGGGCTTGGTTTGGCCCTCAGCTGGCATCTGGAGGTTGGCCCCCTGCTCGCCATATAAGAGGTTCCTCGACGGTGAAGGCAGACACCTTTTGCAGAAGGAGTGAAGGCAAGGCAGGAGTTTGGGCTCCCTGCTGTGGAAACTGAGCTTACACAGGGGACAGATGTCCAGTAGGCTCTGGCTGCCCTCCTCCTTCTCGTTCGCCTCCTGGATCGGTTTGCTCTCCGCCTCATTTTCCACAATGATGACGATGTCGTCCGATTCGATCTTTTCTCCACTCTCATCCATGTTCCCAATCACAAGCTATCGCCACCAAATTAGCTTATCTGTACGATCCTCACGGACATTAAAAGTGCATAGGAACAAGGAAAACGACGCTTCGGCTCGCATTCATCAAAAGCATACTGAAACCATGGTGGGATTTCCTTCTAGCAAGCTTATTTTACCACAAAAAGAGAAGACTCGTACATTTCTACCGCTTCACAAAGAGGAAGCCTGTATTAGTATTAGCAGTAAACACTGTAAACACTCACTGTTTATACAGACGGACCGTGACACACCGAAATTATTAACAACGGACTGGACCCGTTAGACAAGTCTATGAGAAAGTTAACTGTAAACACTAGATGTATAAATTCCTTTCAGTTTACCTGTACAGTAACGATTCTGACCGAAAGAATATTAGTATCATTTTAGGACGATTTGTTTATCGCTGCTCGCTAAAAGATGTGGCGAGGCCTCCCTAGCCCTAGCACGACTACGGAAAGCGATAAGGATCCAACTCCGTCCGTTCTTGTAAAACGCGTTTTCCTACTCATTGCTCAAGGAGTGGGAAAATGTCGATGTAGTCAAGTCAGTCCTGGCTTGTTGCTGTTCAAAAGAGCTTGAACCTAAAAGACCAGCGGTAATAATAACCCACGGTGCGGGTTTCAGGATTTGCATTGACGTGACTGTTATTTGAATGGAGCCTCTAAGCTAAGGTGGCCAGACTTCAAAAACAGTATTCAACTGTAGGTTTTATTACAAAGAGAGAATAACTAGCCCTGTTCATCTGATCTTAGTGAAGCACATTATGTGAAACTGTGAATTAAAATCATTAAAAAAGGTTTTAAATATGGCAGTGCTGGTTCTTTTTTGTCTGTTCCACCTTAACAAACAGAAAAACTATACCTATTGATGCATTATGAAAATGTCTTAAAATATTGTGAGGTCATATTTGTGCCATGTCGCTCACCTCTAGTGCTGTATAGTGCTTCAGTAATAATCTCGAATATTTCGTCTGCATTTTCCTGTAGTACTGTGGTCTTATAATAACCTGTAGTACTCGTGCACTGTCTTACACACTTAAAATGACGGTTCTCCAAGTATTCTTTAGTAATGGCAGTTTAGAACCATTTGTTATACATAGCACCATTTCATGCTTAAATGGTTCTCTGCATGGTGAAATGACTCTTCAAACTGATGGATACAAATCAGACAGCCTACCTATCACCCCATCACCTGTTAGTACGATTTAAGTCCCATAACCCCACCCCTGCTTTTCATCCCTAGATTACCGTGTTCTACATCTAGTAGTCTCTAATGGTAACCATTGAGCCAATTGTTATTAGAAAGCAAATCCATCAGGTTTTAATCCTAATGCTTCTAATGATCTTTTTCCATGAGAGAAGAGACAGATGCAGAAACTTCTTTTGAAAAGCAAGATTAGCATCTGGAATCTTAGATTAACTTCAGAAGCACAGCTTTGTTTACAGTCTAGAAAAATCTTAAAAGGAGAGAATCTGTAAAATGAATGGAGCATTTGTACATTTATTGTATTTATGATTATTTTAACAGTCTGGAGTGTAAAAAGTAAGTTTTTGAATAAGTGTCCGTCATTCAAATGTTGATTGTATGTATTCCATTGTAGCATGAGAGCCATTTTTACTCCATCAATTTCAAGGTTAACTTGCCTTGTGCATTAAGCTACTGAGTATAGTTGACTTTATTTACGATATTACTAGTAACATTATTTATTTAAACCAATACACACAGAAAATAAAGGCAAAATAAGAACACTGATTTGGTTTTGTCTCATGCTTTTAGGCTACACTGCACTGCAGCTGAATGAAAGTGCACTTTATCACTCCGCCTTTTCTGTCTCCTTCTGTGGGTTTAAATGCTTGTTTAAAAGGAAGTGACATGAGTCAGCTGAAAAGCTTCTACCTGGAAAACTTCATTTATTGGTTGGAGGAGGTAGAATAAAAATTAAATAATAGATTGCATCATCATCATCATCATTATTACTATTATTATTATTATTATTATTATTATCAAAAAACAATTATTATAAGAATTATAAGCTGTTATCATTATTATTAGTAGTAATGATGATAGTACACTCTTAAAAAAGATTCTTCAAGGGTTATTTAGTAAAGAAAATGGTTCTATATAGCACCAGAAAGGGTTATTCTAGTCCGCATGTACTAACCTTCTACCAAAGTCTTGCAGATGCTGGAGCCACCTGGAGGTCAGGGAACCAGCCTTGTGACCAGAAGGTCGCCGGCTCAATTTTCTGAGCCAACAGTATGAATTGAACAACTGAAGTGCCCTTGAGCAAGGCATCTGACCCCCAGCTGCTCCCTGGGTGCCATGGATAGGGCTGTCCACCGATCTGGGCAATTGTGCTCACTGCCCTTTAATGTGTGTGCACATTCACTAGTATTTATGTGGGTGTTTCACTGCATGGATGGGTTAAAATTTCCCTGTTTTTCCCTGTTTTAAGGGTAACTCAATTAAACAGCGGCACTGATTGTTGCTTCAGGCCATTTCTTCTGCTTCAGTATATTCAAGAGGTGGAGGGCCATCGCTAGGTTTTCTTTTCTTCTATATCAGAGCATATAGTCATAGGCAAAGCAATCAGCAAGGCAATCAACATTATGGCAGAGGGCATACTTACCACTTTATATTATATTTCTATATCTTGTCTTGATCTGCTGCCAAGACCACCCAGGGCTATTGGGATTGCATCTGCAGTTATTAATGACAATTAGTAGTTAGTTGTTTTAATATTCATTTCATTGTTTATTCAAAATACGCAAAAACTTTGATGCTAGAATATAGGCACTTGTACGGAGCCCTGCTGGTGACATCCCATTTAAATTAATAAGGTGTGGCCTTATTAATGCGTGGGAACGAGATCCTAAGGCGTGGCCACGACTTAGTAAGGCGTGGAAATGCGATAATTAAGTTGTGGCCATGATCTCGTTCCCATGCCTTACTAAGTTGTGACCACGCATTAGGATTTCGTTCCCACGCCTTAATAAGTTGTGGCCACGACATAATTATCTTGTTCCCTCGCCTTACTAAGTCATGGCCATGCATTATTTTTATTTATATGGGATGTCACCAGCGGGGCTCCGTACACTTGGAATATTACATGAATTCTTGAGATATTCAAAATGTAATTGTCCCCAGGAGCTCAGTCTTAAAGCTATTTGACATTGTTTTTGCTGGAACTTACAGAGCCCTGCTGGTGACATCCTGTATAAATAAAAATAATGCGTGGCCATGACTTAGTAACGCATGGGAACAAGATAATATTTTGTGGCCACGACTTATTAAGGCGTAGGAACGAGATCCTAATGCGTGGCCACGGCTTAGTAAGGCATGGGAACAAGATCCTAAAGTGTGATCTTGTTCCCATGGCTTACTAAGTTGTGGCCATGGCTTAATTATCTCATTCCCACGCCTTAATAAGTCGTGGCCACGCCTTAGGACCTCGTTTGCATGCGTTAATAAGGCGTGGTCACGTATGATTTTTATTTATATGGGATGTCACCAGCGGGGCTCTACGAGTTCATTAATACTTGGGCTCAATTTCTGAGTTGCTGAGCTAACGTTAAGTTTTTATATTGGCTGAACTGCAGTTAGTTGTTTGGTGATACGACTAGTGTGGAACTGTGTAGAACTGAGGTGTAACCGCTGTCCCATAGACTGTTGTTGGGGGAGGAGAGTCGGAGTGCACGCTGCAGTGCATGCTGGGGACTGTAGTGTAGTCTATTGTGAAATGGGCTAATATTAATAGAACATTAAAATACTTTTGCGGGCCAAATAGGATGGTGTCGTGGGTCTTGAGTTTAACTTGGCTTTAAGTTATCTATACACGGCTTTTTGTGGTAGTTACGGCTTTACAATCTTCAAAGCACGATATCATCACTGCTTATTCGTATGCTGAGAGATATACAGCTTTAGTCGGCTTCATCTCCAGTTTTTTCAGCAAATTAGCCCTTCACCCACAAGAGTTGCTGCGAAAAACCTGGATAAACTTAACGAGTTGTGAACCCACGTCGTGACACCAATTAACCCAACGTGTAACCGTTATGTTCAGTGAAGCTGGCTATCATACTGAAACCCAAGGTTTCTGAGCTTACTTCATTGCACAGCCCACAGAAGTCTTTCTTCGGACTTTCAGGTGTGTCACAGTTAAAAACAGGGACATTTCTAGGGACAGCTCCACAATAGGGTGCCATGGTGATTATTTTAAAATAAAACTTAACCACAGCATAATATATTTAAGCAACTTAGGACAAACTTAACTTTTGGCCTCAGTGTATTTCATGGCCTCCCCTGCTAGAAAAACCAGCACAGACCATGGGGCTGGTCACCAGCAAAACCAGCATATTTTGGGTTTTGAGTCTCGTATGCTGGTCAACCATGACCATGCTGGGGTGATCAGCTAAACTAGAACCTACCCAGCATGAAATGCTTGCTGGTCTGTGATGTTTGTTTTTTTTTTTTCTCAGCAATATAGTATATTATATTATTATAGTATATTATATATGTTATAGTATATATATTACAATATAGCAGTTCATGGCTACGTCTTATTTAAAAAATCACCACATCACTTTGATGAGAAATGAGGGGTTTGGATTGCCATGCAGAGACTGAATAGCCACCAGGGGGCACTCATACTTGGGGATTAACGATAGGGCGGTAAATGGAGCAGTATGATCATTACTGATTAACTTGTGCAGCTCCGCAAGACCTTTGTCGAGGTGGGTGTCTTTGCTGAACTGGTTTCTCCTTACAGCAGTAGGTGATTCTTCCTTGCATGACTTGCTAATCTGTGGAAAGAACAAGAGAAGGATCAAAAGAAACATGGCATTGACAGCTAAGAGCCACTCAGTCACCCTGAGTGATGGGTTCAAAATCCCTCTCATGGGGATTGGGACCTATGGAGATCCTAGGACGGTAAGAAGCAATATATTTCATAAAAATGCAATTCCTAATAACTACTATTTAATTAAAAAAAAATCTATCTGCACTTAGTAGTGAAATGATATAAGATCCAACGAGTCCATTTATGTGTTACAATATAATATTATTTTATTATAGACTCCAAAAGGAACAGCATATGAATCAGTGAAGTATGCCATTGATGTTGGATACAGGCATATTGACGGGGCTTTAGTGTATTTCAATGAGCATGAAGTAGGCCAAGCCATCCGAGACAAAATTGCTGATGGAACTGTCAAGAGAGAGGACATTTTCTACTGTGGAAAGGTAACAGCATTCCTTTAAGGTATAATCAGCCATTGGTGAATTGTTATATAGTAGCAGATGTCAAGGCTGAGAAGTTAATCTTCACTGCGTTGTATATGAAGCTACTGCAGTATATTACTGAATTCTCTTCAGTAAGATATAATCTACCAACAGATTTGGTATTCTTTCTTTTCTACGGCAGCTATGGAACACTTTCCACCCTCCAGAACTTGTAAGGCCGGCACTAGAGCGAACTCTCAAAACCCTGCAGCTGGACTATGTGGACCTCTACATCATTGAACTGCCCCTGGCTTTCAAGGTCTTGTCCTGATCACAATTAATTCCAGTGCAAATTATATGCAAATGGAATATATAATACATTTTTGCAGATATTTAAGTTGTATGTGAATGAACTGTGTATGAATTCATCCAATTCCTTTAGCCAGGAGACGTCTTCTATCCAAAAGATGAGAATGGGAAGTACGTGTACCATGACACAGACCTTTGTGCTACATGGGAGGTCAGTAAACGTCTTAATTTTTTTAATTTAGGTAACTGATTTTTTACTCTGTCGGCACAGTAAAAATGGGTCCAAAGAAGTACCTATTTATTATTTTGTTAGTGGCCTTGACATAAGAGACAAAGAGCAAGGTATGACAAGCTATTTCCACACTGAAGGTGTGGTCTAACCTGTACAATGTGCTCTTCTTGACCTGTTTTCAAAGGTCAAAGTGATCTTTGGAGCATTTTAAGCACTTTATTGAAGTGTAGTTCATGGCACTTTATTGTAACCCATGGTCAAAAAAAAGACCCTGTACCCAAAATGTTTTTTTTCTTTGTTCATTTTTTCCATCCTCAGGCCTTAGAAGCCTGTAAAGACGCAGGTCTGACCAAATCTCTTGGAGTGTCTAACTTCAACAAGAGGCAACTGGAGCTGATCCTGAATAAGCCAGGTCTAAAGCACAAACCGGCAACAAACCAGGTAATCCTTTGTAGTGTGATAACTAACATATCCATATGACAGTAATGCATGTTGGGAAGAACATAGACTGTTGTTAAAATAAAACATAATTTTGTAATATAATCCAACAGCCAAAAGCATTGTTACATGAAGAAATAACTTATTAATGGCTAATTACATTTAGTGTGATAAGGAAAAATGCCACAGCTCAGAGAACATACGGTCCAAAGGATACCTAGGACGTTAACGGGTTAATAAAGTGTGGAATCCTTTTATTGTTTGTTTGTTGCTTAATATCTGTTAATATGGCTGCAATAAAGAATAACTATTTGTGGTTAACTTGTTTTTAACTATAGATTGAATGCCACCCATACTTCACTCAGCCTAAAATGATGGAATTTTGTAAGAAGAATGACATCATCATTGTTGGATACAGTCCACTAGGAACATCCAGAGATCCATCCTGGTATAAAATGTTCTTTTACCCTTTATACACATATTGTCTGTATAGCTCCAAATGGTAACTACATAGAACAAAAATGCTCTTCAGTGCATATTGAAGGTGATTTTCACCATTCTGCATAATTCATTCATTGAGATGTAAACAAAGGCATTCAGAGTGTTTTGATGTAGAAACATGTCAACTCAGATTTTTTTTACAGTGGTGCTGATAAGAACCAGGTCATGATGTCTGCAATGCAAATATAGCCATTTTATTTGACATCAAAAATGATGAATGAACCTACACGTCTTCTGAGTTTATATTTGCATTGTTGATGATTGCAAAGTAGTGGTAAATACAAAAGAAGTTTTCTTTGGGGACTATGTTATCTTGCAACGCCCTGTATGTACCTCTCCATCATGAACGTGTTAAAGGCCAAAACCCTATTACAGAACTATAATACAACAATAAGGCAATAAATAGTGTAGTAAATAAACAGTATAATAAGACATTTGTAACCATTTTATGGAATACGTTTCTGTGACAAAGCTTTTTGAGGCCTTAAATGCTTCACAAACCTGGTTCCTATCACAACCCATGTGAACAATTCTAACTGTGTGATTGTAGTATTTCATATCAAACCACTCTGAAATACTTTGTCCACATTTTAACAGTGTAATTGTTAAGCTGTGGAATTCTTCTTTAATGGGAAGATTTTATTCCAAGTTATCTTGGAACATTTTTTTGCCTAATTAACAAACAATGACCAGCCTATAGCTCACTTCAGGCTATACAGTAATGTTGTTCTTCTTTGTCCTTTTTTCCAGGGTGAATTTAAAAAGTCCTCCTCTGCTGGAGGATGAGCTTCTGATATCCATTGCCAACAAGTATAAGAAGACTACAGCGCAGGTGGCCCTGAGATTCAATGTCCAGCGAGGCGTGGTTGTCATTCCCAAGAGCTTCAGTCTGAAGCGCATTAAAGAAAACTTTGAGGTTTGTATGCTGTCAGAGCTCACTGATGTACGCTCTAAAACTCTTTAATTCTCACATGGATTTATTGTTTTCGTAGATATTTGACTTCTCTTTAACCGATGATGACATGAAGGCGATCGAGGGCCTGAACAAAAACGTCCGATTTGTGGAGCTGCTCATGTAAGTAACAGATATGGACAGCTGTCTGCTCATTAAAGGAAGACTCCAGCATTTTTCAACCTAATCCCAATCTGCTGTGTCTGTAACATACCATCAATTACTTCAGACAGTAATTTCAATGTTCCCTGTACTTAGTAAAAGAACTGAGATCTCGCTGAATCAAGACAGATTTATAATAGAAGCCAATGGGCAGGTGCCTTGTTGTTTTATACAGGGAAATTATTGTCTGTGGCAATCAGCCATACACGGCAGATGCAGCTGATAGAGATAAGGTTGAAAAACACTACAGCATTCCTGCAAAGCATACGTTTTCAGTGCTTGTGGGACAAAGGTGATGCATATTAGTCTTTTCCCTGTACTGATACGTGAATCAATTGTTTGGTTAATAATCAGCCCCATTGTGAGTACTTTGACACATTTAAGCAGAGGAAATACTAAACTGTGCAGTCTACTGTGAAGTCTTCTCTACCGTGTAGAGATTGATCATTCTTTCTTTTTGAAGGTGGAGAGATCATCCTGAATACCCATTCCATGATGACTATTAGGTTTTTTTATTTGGGCAGCAAATTGATCAAAAAAACACTATTATTTACTTGACATCTGTTTTTTTTATTAAAGTGATTCTGTTCTGTATCTGTAATGTATAATTTGTAAAGATACTGTAACATTTGCAATGGCAAAAGATTTTTTTCCCCACTCACACTTTGCAACCCCTTTATTGGTTCAGTCATTCAAGGCTGGTTATTTGTGCATTTAATTTATGTATAAGAAATCATTTGATTCAGTTTCTTTTTTGTGAAAAAAGAGAGAGGTAATTTTTCTGGAAATGTGTGGGGAGAGAGAGAATAAGAATTCATTTTACAGAATAGGGAAGAGGATGTTTCATCACTGGTATGCACTACTGGTCACACCTTATTTGGCCCATTTGACCCATTCCAGAGACATTAGTAACAACGATAAAGTATCTTAGTCTACATTCTTAAAAAAGATGGTTCTTAAAGGCTTCTTTAATAAAGGTAATGGTTATATTCTGAACCATGTGTTCTGTATAGAATCATTTCATGTTTAAATGGTTCTTTGGTGCTGTGTATGGTTCTATATATCACCAAATAGAGCTTTGGCATAGTTTTAGTACAAACACATAGTACAATTTAGGACAGTACATAGTACAATTATATGGAACTATACTGAGGAATGGAAAGTCCTTCCATCATTTGAGGTTTTCTCCATCCAGGATGACTCACCTGACCATATCGCCTATTTCCACATCTCTGTGGACCAGTGCTGATGGCTTTCACACCACTAAACTCTGAAACTGTGCTTTCGTCTTTGTAATGAGGGGTTTGAAAACTGCAGCCCTACTTTAATATCCTTCTCTATACGGATGTGGACGGGCCGTTCTTGATGACATATTACTGTACTCCGCTGAATGTCCTAATATATTAAACTGAAACGGGACTGTAAATCTGCAAGAGGTTTTCTTTGAGAGGTTGGAAAACTCTTTGTCTCTCACGCCAACACAGCAGGTGGCGCTAGTGCACCTTTCACGGAGGTCTGCGCGTCAAATACAACATTATTCGTTCGAATTTAACACAAAATAGACTATAATTACTCTTGTCATGGGCACATTTTTAAAATAAATGTAATAAATGTTTGTTTATTTTTTTAAATATGTGATTATTTAATCACACGCCGATTTACGTTGTTAGTTGATTTCAGGGTTTGTTGACGGAAGTCGTCCATTCCACTTCGGGCCGGTGACTTCTTTTTACGTTACATATTCATGCGCAGTGAAAACAGCTGTAAAAAAGAAAGAAAGAAAAAAGTTCTCAACACACAGTTGGATATAGAAGTGTACATATTACTTACATATATTAAAACATTTAACAAATACAATTAAATCAAATAACATTATTAATGAATACTGTTTTAAGCTTCTCCGTCAGATGAAAACTCAAACTCTATCACTGAGGAAACGGTGGATGGTTACAGTCGATTTAGTTATCTGTAATTCGGTTTTTTCGGGTAAAGAATTGAAGTACCTAGCAACAAACTGTGAACACTGAACTGACTAGTGAGCTATAACGAGCTATATTGCTTTTCAACTTTCTACCCATGGTAAGCATAAAGAGCTTACACTGTTCCGAGGCTTTTGTTTTCAAGACATTGTCCGCTGCGCCACTGCGCCGCACTACAGCGCTCTTGTGGTGAACCGCGGTAGCGCAAGCTATTAAAGATTAGCCGAAAGCCGCTAGCTAAGCTAGCAGCGACCTTGCTAAACCGACGAAAAGAAAGGAGGTTGAGGCTTAAAAGGATGGATTAAAATCTCCGCACGCTTTACACTAGACTGGATTACGGCCAACGCCTCGGGAGAGGACGTTATAATATTTTCTTAAGTAAAGTTTCGTTCACTTAGCTAATTAGCTAACCTAGCTAATGTTACTCTAGAGATGCAGGCTGGATATCGGAGGTAACGGAATACGACGTTTCATAACCGGTTAAATAATTTTTTAAACAAGAAACATTTCATTCGTTGCTGTAACAACCCCTATACGTACTGGAATGTGAGTTTGTTTGCTAAACGCGACGAAAACCGAGTTTTTGGACGAAATCTGGTGCTAGTCACACCGGCTAGCTTGCCAACGTTTTAAAAAATTGTCTGAAGAAATTCGTCCCAGCCGATTAGAGGAGAAGCGTCTACTTTGTTGATATTACAAGTACTGATGAATTAAGTGGGGAAAATGCATCTAGCAACACTCAACAGAAAGCATTTTGTACATTGTTTCGAGGTAAATGTTTAGCCTACTAAGATTCAGTTCATTGTTTATAAATGAACACCTAGGACTTTACTGCCCAGTAGTGTTAAAGCAGGGGAGTGGTGTGGGAGTGCTGCGCTCCGGATCAGTCTGCAGTTAAACAAGATGATGGACAACTATCCTAAGGACATTTAATCGCATTTAAGGACTTTTCCCTTCTTCCTCTGGATAACGACATGACCTCAGGGTGACTGTGTTTTGGAGGTGCTGGAAGTGTCGTGGTGCGTTCAGGACGTGGCACGAAATGGAAATGTTTTCATTGTTCGTGCTGAAGGCCACAATCATGGCGAAGAGAAAAATCAAATAGTTCCTTGTCTCAGCTTTTTATTATTTTTTACGTCTTTTGCGTAGTATTCATACATGGGACACCGACAACTTGGACTTGGAAAGTATAGCTTAGCCCTATGTACTTTTAAATGGCTGAAAATAGCAGGCTTGTAAAGTAGAGAACACGACTTTAGCACATCATGTCTATGTACGCTGAATTCGTCCCTCCTCCAGAGTGTCCCGTTTTCGAGCCCAGCTGGGAGGATTTTTCAGATCCGTTGGGGTTTATAAGCAAGATACGACCCATTGCGGAGAAAACAGGCATCTGCAAAATCAGACCACCTCAGGTAACCCTCCACTCTTTTCTTTGCCATGTCATTTTTTCGGTTTAGGGTGCTTTTGTTGCAGTGTTATAAGCTCCATCCTTCATTAAGGAACCATAATGACTGTATATTAGTTGTGCATGTTGACTTGCTCCTGACATCCTTGCTTTCAACATCCAGTGCCTCACCAGGCATCAGGCCTGAATTACAGGGTCCCTTATTTCTTATAGAAATCAACTAAACCGGTTAGCTTATAATTTGGACGCTTTGTTTCTTGTTCTATTAGTGTTTTAGTTTCACATCCAATTGTGATTTGATTTTGTCTCAGAAGAGTGCAGTACAGATGTTCTTCTGCTCTTCCAAGATAAAATCGTGTATACATTATGTGTCCAAGCATATCCAAACCCCTGCTAATTGGCGTTTAATTGTCCACTCACCTCTTGTATAATTGCAAAAAACAGTAGAAAGGTATTGCCAATAGAACACATGAGCCTAAGGTCACCTGTTCAATGTCAAACGTTATCTAGAGGGGTGTAAAGCCCCTTAGCATTGGTCTGTGGAGCAGTGGAACTGAGTTGAGTTGAGGTGGCATATGTGATCCAGAATTTATCATCCAACATCAGCACCTGACCTCTGTAATGCTCTTGTGGCTGAATGCAATCAAATCCTCACAGCAGTGTACCAGCATTTAGTGCAAAACCTTCCCAGAAAAGAAGAGGCTGTTACTGTAGAAAAAGGGGGACAAACTCCATATTAATACTCTTGATTTCAGAAGAATTGTTGGAGTGTATAGTGCATAATAGTTCACAGGCTGAAGTTGATTGTCTCGTAGTCCATCCAATAATAACAAATATGAAACGCTTAGTTAGTTGATGAATTCAGCTCATGCATTCCTTCTTTTGTCTTTTTTTATCCAAAGGACTGGCAGCCTCCCTTTGCTTGCGATGTGCGCAACTTCCGCTTTACTCCCCGAGTCCAGCGGCTCAATGAACTTGAGGTAAGTTTAATTTCCATTTCACTTAACATTTCTTTACCAGTGTTCTGCACACACTGTTCTGCATGAGCATCTAGTTCTTCACGGTGTTCTGCAGTGTTGCTTTGTATGTGGCAAATACTTCTTTTGTATCACACTGAAAGTGAGGAGAAACGTGTGCCACACAGTTAATATCTAAAGATATTATCTGTGTGGCACAGGTTTCTCCTCACTTGTGTACACTCTATCACATTAAAACCATGTTAAAGGAGTATTGATGAATATGACTGTATAGTAATGAACAAACAACAGTGGGGACCAGTTATCATGCAATGATTTGCATACTGCTGTCTTGCCCTGTGGGTGAAGCACAGTGGGTAGCGCTGTCACTGCACAACAAGAAGGGCCTGGGTTTGGTTCTCCAGCTGGGCAACCAGGGTCCTTTCTGTGTGGAGTTTGCATGTTCTCCCTGTGTCTGCTTGGGTTTCCTCCAGGTACTCTGGTTTCCTCCCACAGTTCAAAGACATGCAGTCAGGCCAATTGAACATGCTAAATTGCCCCTAGGCGTGATTGTGTGTGTGAATGTCTGTGTGTGTTCCCTGTGACGGACTGGCGACCTGTCCAGGGTGTTTCCTGCCTTCTGCCCAATGACTGCTGGGATAAGCAGTTTAGAAAATATGTCTGTGTGTGCGCGTGTGTATTGCCCTTTTCTTGGTTCCATTCCTTTTTAGTAAGTTTATCATTTTTGGGTGAATTGTTACCAGTGATTGTCTATGTATGTAATGTTATTGGATAGGACAACATTACTGCAGGCATCAGTGCTTTTTACTAGTGAAAGAGATCAGATCAATGTTTTTGTGTTCTGATCCTCTGTCTCTGTTTTTCTTTCTGTTTGTTGCCTCTTTCAGGCCCTCACTAGAATAAAGCTCAACTTTTTGGATCAAATTGCAAAGTTTTGGGAGCTCCAGGGTTCAAAACTGCGTTTTCCACATGTGGAGAAAAAGATGCTAGACTTGTATCTTCTCAGCAAGGCAAGGCTTCGCTTTGGATTATGTGTTACTATGCACCCTCTACCTATGTTAATTTTTTAGGGACTGTGTACGAATGTCAGAAGAGCATGTGACCGACTTGAAATCATGAAAATTCACACAGCTTGTGTCTTTGTAGAAACAATAATAATATAATATAATATAACATAATATAATAATATAATTTGTTTTCAATGTCTCTGTCCGTGTAGATTGTGTCTGCAGAAGGAGGTTTTGAAATGGTCTGTAAGGAGAAGCGTTGGTCTAAGGTAGCCACTCGCATGGGTTACCCATCTGGGAAGGGCATGGGCTCCCTACTTCGCTCTCATTTTCAAAGGATCCTCTACCCCTACGAACTCTTCCAGTCTGGAGCTTCACTCTCTGTGAGTTAGACTCCTCTGCTATCTGATGCACTGAAACACTGTGTAATATTTTACTGAAAATACCATGTCTGGTCCAAATAATTTGACTGTGTAAATATTTGTTTGTTATGTTGGTATTAGTTTCTTTATTTAGTATTCGGATGCTTCAAATTCTAGAACACTCTTGTGTCACATCAAGTTGCATGATTATTTATCATTCTTTTAAACTAAACATTTTATTATAAGAGTAGGATAAATGGCAATTT